AAAAATGAAAGAGGAAGTGTTTTTGAGAACGGATGGAGTATATTTCAAGTGATGATAAATAATTTGAGATGGAAAAAGTAAGGGGCTGTTTGGAAACTTCTTAATAGGTAAGTGCTGAACCAGTAAGAGGTCTGAATCATTAATTGCTGAACCAGTAAGAAGTCTGAATCATTAAGAGCTAGTATATTGCTTAAGTATTCAGAGGCAAATGTCTGATCAATTCAGATAAGAGGTCTTAACCATTCAGACTCTGTATAATACTTAACCATTCAGAGGCAAATCTCTTAACCATTCAGACATCTGAACCATTAAGAGGCTGAAACAAACAGTCTGAATCATTAAGTGTTGAACCATTCAGACATCTGAACCATTAAGAGGCTGAAACAAACAGCCCCTAAGTCATTACGAGCCAATACGTGTAAAACATACGAGTAACATTTACTACCTCCGTCCCGCTGTCTTTGTCCACTTTTGACTTTTGAAACTGTTCATCTAAGCACTTTGACTCATCAAATTCTCTTAATGTGTAAGCCTAAATATAGTCATGTATGATCTTGTTTGATTTGTCTTAACATATAGATTATTAATATATAATTTCTATAATTTTTTAATATACAAATTACAAGATAAAATGGATTAAAGAAGTGCATTGAATGATGTGTCAAAAGGTAAGTGGACAAATACAGTAGGACGGAGGGAGTATTCTTTAAAAAGAAGTTTCATGTTTTTATTTCTAAAACAAGAGTTTGTATGTGATATTATGCTTTTGTATGATTGCATCCCAATTCATTTTTAGTACGTACTCTCTTTGTCCCATTTTAAATTGCTTGTTTGTCTTTTTTCTCTGTCTCAAAATAAGTTGCATGTTACTTGTTATCGTAAAATTTTAAGAGTAAAATACCTAAACTACCCCTAAAATAAGTCACTCTTCTCCACCTTTTTATCTTCTCATTTATCGTCACCCCTTCTAAAAAGTAATGTCAATTTCGAAAAATCAACTCTATTTTTTTATCTTTCTTAAATATGCTCAAAAGTCAAAACAGGTGATTTAAATCAGGACGAAGGGAGTATTATATATTACTCCCTCCGTCCCTTAAAAAATTTCTTATTTTGACTTTTAAAAGATTTAAGGGGAGTGTATTTTGGTGTTGACTTTCCAAAAATACCATTTGATGTGATGCATAAAGTAGGATGTAATGAGTAAATTAATAGAGAAAAAGTTTGATGTGATAGGTAGGTTAAGAATTAATAGGGCTAAAAGTGATTTTTTAATAAGAAAAGAGAAGTGTTTTTTGGGACAGATGAAAAAGAAAAGTAGAAGAGTTTTGTGGGATGGAGTAGTATTATATTATACTCTTACTCTAGAATAAAAATTTAAAACTTTTAATCTAAAACTTTGGTAAATTTAATTCTTTTTCATAAAAAATGGATAAATAGGAGACAAACCGTTTAGTGGTTTCAAGAAGAATGTACTCCCTCCATCCCAAATTATTTGTCACATTTCTATTATCGAGGCAAAATTTCAAATTTTTTCAATTCATTTTATTTACATATTGGTAAAGAAATAAAAAAATAAAAATTACATATAAAAAAACTACATGAAAAGTTCTTCGAAATAAGAGGTGTCATGAATATTTTTTTATCAAATAACCAATGAAAACGTAAAAATAAACAAAAGTTCCCGCGACTGTTGAAAAAGCAAATTTTTGGCTTGCAAGTCATCTTCATTTTGTCATGCACTCCATGTCTTGATGGTGACATTCCAATTTCCCTTTTTTATTTTTTTTATAAAAATAAGCATTTTTTGTAAGAAAGTAGAATTTTATTAATGATAAAATAAATTGAAAAAGTATTTTTTAATAATTAAAACATATCAAAAGATGTAAAAAGTGATAATAACAATCCCTCTTGTCACTGTAAAGTTTGTCACTCCACTCCTATACTGCTATCTGACTAGATAATTTTTTATCGATTAAAGTCTACTGCCCTCTATTTTTATCTTAAGATGGTGGATGCTCTAACAGTAAAGTCCACGTCACACCCATTCCCCCTCCGACAGATCCCCAAATTACGGACTCACGATTAAGGGCACCCACCCACGGTTTTGGGGACTTTCCTTTGTCCCTCTCTCCCCCAAACCACTGGCTCTCATTACTTTACCCTCCCCCCGTTTCAATCAATTAATTAAATAAAGAAAAATAGTACTCACACTCTCACACACTCAACCCAACATGGAGAAAAATTATACTCACTCATCTAACCTTTTGGAGAAATTCACATCATTACTCCCAAAATTGTATAACTTTATAAAAATACTCTGAGATTTAATAAATGATATCCATGCTTCCAGAATTTTTGTATCTTTGCATCAGTACTCCAACATTGAAATATGTTTACATCAGGACCCCGACATTTAGAGCATTGCTATACACATAAATGAATTCTAAGAGCAGCGATGTAAACATATGTAAATTTTGGGAGAATTGATGTCATTAATTGAATCTCGGATTATTTATATAAAATTGTGTAATTTTGAGAGTAATGATGTGAATTTTTTCTAACCTTTTCGCAATTTCTAGAAATGTTGACAAATGAAAATTATTGCTCCCTCAATCCCATTTAAAACTTTGCACACTACAATGTTTGAATAACTTTATTTATTAATTTAATTTTGATAGTATATTTTAAAAATAATAATTGTGTATTTAAAAATTACATTAAAATTAAAGATCTACAACGTACTTGATAGAATTTTAGAATTGGATAGAGATAACTAGATTGAGCTATAAGACATAAGACACTTGGGCTGAACCACATTAAGAGATTGAATCCGATCGATTAGTTAATTCAACTCTAGAGCTTATTATATACCGATTAATTTAATTTTGAAATTCCGATGTGGGATGCACTCTAACAGTACCTGATGTAGCATGATTATTTTATTTTATTAAATGAGTAACAAAAATAAAGAAACAAAGTATATATATACATATATGACATTTAAATTTGTGAATAATAATGTATGGAAAGATTCAAGTATGGGGGGCTCGGAGGGTGAGCAAAGTGGCCAACCACACGAGCCTCTAAAATTTAGAGCACCATATTTTTAAATTCATCATCAATTTTGAAGCATAAATATTATAAAATAATAAAATAGGGTCTAAAATGTAAATTCCGGACCGGCCAATTTCATTTTTTCATTTTTTGAGATCAGCCATGGATTCAAGTGGAACAGAGGGAATACACTGAAAAGACTAACGCTAAAGTCTACTGTCGAATGACCTTTTCTAAACGCTAATGTTAATCTTTAATAAAAATGTCAAAGAGGGCTTGAGTCTCAGTAAATTCTTTTAATTTGACATTCTCAATCAAACTATATGAACTTTAGTACTCCAGTAATCAAGAATGTGTATATTCTTGTAGAGTATTCTGCAATTTTAATACTTGCGTCCAGAATAAATTTGGATAACACAAATTTAATATTCGGTGTTTCTTAATGAGAAATTTACCTAAATAAGACTAAAACATAATGACTTTTCCAATATAGGACTATATGTTTTTATTTTCCAATGTAGGACCTTTGGTCATTATGAAGTAGTCATTATTCAAGTAAATGTCTATCATTACGGGACATTATTCCTCCCACTAGGTCATTATTAAGTCTTATTTAGGGAATAAAAAAGTTTAAGTCTTATATTAGGAAAGTCATTATGTTTTAGTCCTATTTAATGCAAATTTCACTTTCTTAATTCATGCAAAATATAATTAGGTCCGAGAGAACACATACTCCATACAAACATTCGTGCGTATGTCACGTGCACTTATTTTTGTGAGATTTTGGTGGTATTCACCCCGTCCTATAATTTTCTTCCCGGTTCTGTTTACGAAGTTTGACCGATTTTATTTTCAATTCAATTTATTTGATTGTAGGCGTAAAATTAAAAAATAAAATTTATATATTTAAGAACTACATCAAAAGTTCTACAAAACAAGTAGTGACAAGACTATATTATTTTATGAAATACCTAATGAAAATAGATAAAGAAAGTGATTAAAGTTTGACCGTGCAAAAAGTAAGTGAGAAGAACATTTTAGGACGAAGAGAGTATTAAAATATGTGTCCTTTCCACATTTACTACTTTCCCAGCTACTATTTACACGGTCAAATTTTAATCACTTTCTTTGTCCATTTTCGTTAGTTATTTGATATAATAATAATTTTGTCACCCTTTATTTTGTACTCCCTCCGTTCTCAAAAACACTTCCTCTTTCATTTTTTTTACTTCCAACAAAACACTTCCACTTTCTATTAAAAACCACTTTTAACCTTACTTTTTCATACCATACCTATCACATCATACTTTTTCTCAAATAATCTATTCATCACATCAAAGGCAAAATTGGAAGTCAACTACAATTTAACACTTCCTTATTTTTTCACTTGTTCAAAGTAGGAATTCTTTTTGAAAACGGAGGGAGTAGAACTTTTGACAAATTTTTTAAATCCATAAATTTTATTTTTTAATTTTACGCCTACATAAAGAAAATTGAATTGAAAATAAAAAAGTCGGTCAAATCTCATAAACAGAAACGGGAAGAACGTTTTAGGACGGAGAGAGAGTAAAACATATGGAGTATATCACTTAGGAGAGGTAAATTGGATTCCAATTGCAGGTGGTCATAAAAAATGAAGCTTGCACATGATACTTGTAGAAGCTTTATGTTTAGTATAGTTATCTCTCAACGCAGTTGCCGAAAATAAAATTGATTCTTGAGACTCTAAACCTTTGCTAACTGCGCAACATTTCTAGTCACAAAATACTAGAGTTACTAGGTGATGTAGCAAAACCGAAATAGTCCGTAGATTCTTGAATCACACCAACCAATGCAACCACATAAAAACAAAGGGAGTTGGACGCTGGTAATGCTACAAAACCATCAAATGTTGTTTGGTTTCACAGAAAAGCTCCCCTATAAATACACATAGTTATTTCTTTTATCCTCTATCATACCAACATTATCCAAACACTTCCCATCTCATCTCCCAAAACCTTCCAAAAAAATCTTCATTCAACTTTAATTTTCACCAACAATGGCATCCCTCGATCAGTTGGCCATGGCTAAGCGTTGCTCTCATGGTATATATACTTCCTTCTTTTAAATCATTCAATTATATTTATTTAATAATGATTAAAATTGGTCAATTTTATTTGCAAATGTCAAACTTGGAGCTGGGTAGTAATTGGTACTCTCTATCATTTTCACTTTTTAATTCTTTCTTAAAAGAAATTACTAAAAATCAAGTAAAATTTGTAATAAATAGCACTAAAACATACAAAGTATATTTTTTTCCAATGTAGTACAACTTTTTTATTTCTTAAATAGTACTTAAATAATATCTAGTACGAGAATAATGTCCAGTGGATATTGAATAGTGGTATTACATTAAAAAAACACATAGTACTACATTGGAAAAATAATTATGTTTTATTAGTAAATTTCTCAAAAATCAAATGGTACTTGTATGAAAATTCAATAAAGTGAATCTTAAGACGGAGTAAAGTATATACATTAACATTTTATTGAATCTTTTTGTAAGTGCAGAGGGAGTGGTCGCCGGAGCAAAAGCAGCGGTGGTGGCCACCATAGCGACGGCGATCCCAACAATGGCAAGCGTGAGAGTGCTGCCGTGGGCCAGAGCCCACTTGAACCCCACGGCGCAGGCGCTCATCATCTCCACCGCCGCCGGGATGGCTTACTTCATCGTTGCCGACAAGACTATCCTCGCCACCGCCCGCCGCAACTCCTTCGGAAACCGGTCCGCCTGAACGGCCGCCCGCTCTCCGGTGGTCCCGCCGGTGCCCGTGGAAGAAATGTGATGGTCCAACCAGGCAACCTACCGGTGTTAATAAAATAATGTTGTCATGTAGTAGTATAAAATGCAAAAGCTAAGGAGCTGGCTTGGCTTTGTTACCTGTTTGCAAGCTAAGTCTGTCTTAGAGCAAATATATATGCTCTATAAAGAATATATATATACATAAAGGATGCTTAATGTTTTAGATTTAGATTGATTTTAATAATGATTCTTAATTTTTATTTTAGATAAAAGTTTAAAATGTTTCAAGTTTCTACTCATTAAATATTGTAAACCAATATAATGAAGACCACGTATAGAGGAAATTGAGTGACATATACTTTCTCCGTTCCACAAAATCATTTCTCTTTAGTTCTTTTTAAATTTCCTAAAACATTTTCACTTTCTATTAAAAAACTACTTTTACTTTTATTTTTTCATACCTTACTTATCACATCATATTTTTTCACTAATAACTAAACTATCACATCTTACTTTTACCCATCACATCAGGGACAAAATTTGAAAGTCAACCAGAATTACACTTTCCTTATTTTCCCCAAAAGTCAATATTGGAAGGGTTTAAAGGAACGGAGGGAGTGTTTTAATTGCAAAGGCTGAGGTGGTCGCGAAGGAAGGATATCGGGGGTGAGATTTATCAGGGGATTAGAAGGGTAGGAATTGTTAATTTCACGAACGGAGTTCGTCAGTATCACGATTGAAATGGTGTCACGGTGTTATACAATTTGGTATGTTGTAACTCTACACTTCTTTAAAATAATAGGTATAAATCTATATAGAGTTTAACTTTGTTTTTCGAAGTCTAAATGGACAAATATTTCATAAAATCTTTTTCTAAATCTAATCTTAATCTATCACAATTCTCTTCTATAATCTCTTTACTTGTGATACTTCTACTTGTTTTAATTCCATCACAATTTTCCCTTTTAACCATTTTTATGGCTTCCTCGGCCTTCTTTGATGTCAAAACAAAATAATTTTGTGGGACACGGAATATTGAGGGATTAATATAAGGTTGCATATTGGTCATATTTGGTAATTAATGAAACTTAATTTCTTAGAGTATACTCTTGTCCTCTTTAATATTCTAATGAACTTGGCATTTTTAATTTTACAATGTCACTATCGTTTTCAGACACACACAATATTCAATTGATAAATTTATGGTTCTTACTCCTTGCTAACCCCACCTCATCCCACCCCGGCCCGAGCATAACTCACTCTCATCCCTCCCCAATTTCAATTCCTTCCACAAAATTTGTTAAGGCTCCGTTTAAAACACGAAATTCGAACTATGAAATTGGAATTGATAATTTCAATTTCAAACCTAGTATCTGGTAGCAATAAATTTATGTAGATTTGAAATTGATAGTGCAAAAAATGAATTGGGATTTGTGAATTCAATTCTATGGAATTGAATCCCATAGAATTTCAATTCCAATTTAATCATTTCTGAATATCAAACGGACCCTACGTTTAGAGTTTAACTTTTTTGAACCCAAAATCAACATAATTTTAGATATGAGTGGTGATGGCTATTGGGCCATCAGCTTAGGTCCAGCCCAAGATTTGCTAACTTGGACTCAAGAGTTAGCGCAGCAGCTTGCCAATCCGCCCCACTTCTCTTCTCGCATCAAATGCTCACTTCTTCTCTTTTTTTTCAGATCTATAATTTCCTTTCCTTTATGTGTTTTTTGCTTTTCAGTTTTTTGTTTTATTTTCCGATCTGTAGTATTTTTTCAGATGTGTACTTTTTTTCCTAGCTTTCAGTTTTTTTAATTTCAATTTTAATTTAAAATTTTATTTTAATTACATTTAGAAAATATATAAAATAATACCCCGGAGTATAAAAGTACGGAGTAATATGTAAAAATAAAAATTAAAAACTTGGAATGGAATGAGGATCCGCAGCATCCCTTGAGTAGTGATAAAATAAGGATAAAATGAGAAAAACTAATGTGGCGCTGAGTTATCAGTGAGAATGGTGAGAATGATAGTGATGACACCAGATAGCCTTAAAATGTTAAGAAATGAAAAAAATGTTTTTTATACTTGGTAATAATTAGAATTTATTATGAAGAGAAATACTTAGTTTATTTCAAAAAAAATATTGTCACAGTTTGATTTTTTCAATCAAACTATTCAACACTTTGATCACAGATTAAATATATTTTCAAATAATTGAATGCTATAAAAATTTGAATATCGAAACTATATTTTATAATAAATCTGAATTTACTAAATTTACATTATAATTAAATACTCTCACCGTCTCATAAAACCTTTCTCGTTTCATTTTCATCCGTCTCAAAAATTCATTCTCATTTCTACTAAAAAATCTCTTTTACCCCTATTATTTCTTAACCCACCTATTACATCACACTCTTTTTTTACTCATCACACTTAAGGATAGTTTTGGAAAGTCAATACTAAAATAACTCCCCTAAAATTATTTAAAAGTCAAAAACGGAAAGATTTTGTAGGGCGGAAGAAGTATAATTTTTTCTTAATTGATGGTCACAAATTCACAGTGCCTCACCGTGACGGATGAAGTTTTTTTTTTTGGAACAGATGTAGTAATCATTTGAATACTTGTATTTTCTTCTTCTCAATATATTCTTCAATATGATATATTCAAGTCAAATAATTGGACGAACTTTAATAATGAAGAAAGTGGATTTTTTGTTATTTTAATACGGAGTACTTGCATTCAAAATAAGTTCGGATAATAGAATTTTAATATTCCGTGTTCCTTTCTTAATTCATGTAAAATATTTAGAATAATTTGTGCACTTGTATATTTTATTTATTTATTTAAAGAACAAATAAGATCCTAGACGCCCAACTCCATTAACTTGTGCACTTCTAAAACACGACATGCGAAAGTCAGACATATGTTTAGAAACAAAAAAGAATTGTACATAACGATCAAAATGTAAATTTACACTTTAAATTACAAATTTTAAGGACAGCATTGAAAATTATGACACTCTAACTAGTATTTCTATGATATTAGATAACTAGTATTATGACACTGTTTTTTTGGTGTTGACTTTCCAAAAAATAATTCGACATGTAGTGCTTGTGGGTAAGTAGCATAGGAATAAATAATTCGACATGTAGTGCTTTAATGTTTGCTAATTAATTACCAAATTTTTTTTTTAAATGATCTCAAAGTCCGGATAATGTTCTTTGTGTAATATATATGCAGGCATTGATTACCTCTCCATAGGTATTGGAGTGCAGGATGAGGTGATTGGGGTCCACCTCACCCTCTTGAACATGAAGGTAATTAACAGAGGACGGCTGATATTTTATTTTATCTTTAACTAATTATCTGAATTTTAATTTTGTATGAAATTTGCAGGACATTATTCCGGTGGAGGGGCTAAACCTAGACGATGTGGTGCCGGGGATATACACGGTCAAGTGCCATCCGTTGAGGTTTCCGGGCTTTGACGGGTCGCCGGCCAGGTGCATTCTGCAGTGTTGGCCTGTTGGGATATTTGATTAATTAATCAAAAAGGAAAAAAAAATCACAAAGAGGACAAAGAAGATCAAAAGTGAGATATTTGATTGACTTGGTGCATGTCATCAAATCAAAGAGGATTTTTTGGTTTCTTGACTCCTTCTCAAGCCATGCAAGCATACGGAGCTTTTTTTGTTATAAAAGTAAGGCAATATGTGGGTGGGCAAAACACACTTAGAGAGAGAAGGAGGGTTTAGAGAAAGGTGCTACACAAGATATCTCCAAGATTGTGTGAGTGAGTGTAGGGAGTAACTGGTTTTAGTTACTCAGAAAAATACATCCAGGTGTAGGGTGTGAAAAGTCTATTTATAAGTGTCTGGTATTTAGCGCTTGTAAACAGGGGAGAGTTTTTTTTGTGTATCGTTCTGAAATAGTGAAGATATAATTTTTCTCTCATATTTTCTTCTTGTGTAGTGAGTTTATTTATTTTTCACGTTCTTAATATTTTAAGAGTCTTACGCGCTTAAAATC